TTTTTTTTCCTTTTAATGAGATTTACATAGACACAACATTTTCCTTTTCTGTCAAGCTATCTCAGCCTTAGCCCGATCATACAAATTATATTTATACTTTAATTAACATACTTCAAATAATAACATAAATATATGATTTTTCATCGTGTGAGAACCGTGAAAAACATTGTTTTTATTGGTACGTTGTGCTATAATTGATTGTACTTTAGTGTTATTTTCAATCCGTATATATTTTATTATGAAAAGCAATACAATTTGTATTAGAACTTAGAAAGATAGAACCATATAATATTAAAATAACATCATTCATAATAAAAATAGAAAAAATACGATTCTCACTGTCCCACACCAGTATTAGTTTTTATTTGAACAAGCCCTTACAAATTTAATAGCCTGACAAGTCAAATTGTCTCTCTAACTGACAAACAACATATGCTATGTTTGGTAAACAAATAAGTTAGTTTATAACTTATTTTGTTAGTTTATAAGCTTGTCGAGTTTTTTTTAAAAAGTTCGAGCCTTTTTTATAAGCCTTTTCGAGTTGCTTTTCAAATAAGCATGTTGAACTGTTTATTTTAGTTAACTTATCAACTAATTTTACCAAAAATTGTTATCATATAAGTTAACTTTTCAGCTATAAGTCATAAACTATAAGGTCGAATACCGATAAGGTATAAGATAATTTATGAGTCAATTTTACCAAATATAGTCATAAACAATCTACTATACCTCCTTATATATTAATCTACGTGTTGAGCTTAAATGACAAATTCTCACACTTCAGATGCTGATAAGATGAAAATATATGCTTCGTGATGTTTTTATATTATTTTTGCTTTGTAGTTATGTTTAGTATTAGACAGAAATAATTTTTATCATATATTTCTTAACTCAACCCTTGTTTTGTACATGAGTACACTACAAGAAAAACTGCATTTGGCGATGCTTATTTTTTTGTTTACTGACGCTTATTTTTTTCTGACATCAAATTTAGCAACACAACTCGCCAATAAGCGTCATTAATAAGCGTCGCCAAATACAGTTTTTCTTGTAGTGATTGTACTAGTGATAGTGTATAACACAAAGAGTACTTATATATTTATTAATTTTGAGCTGTGTCATACAGTAATTTATCTTAAATTCTGTTATCATCGTGTTCTTTCATTACTAGTACAGATCCCGTGCTATGCACGGGGTGCACAAAAGTCATTTATCAAGTCTTATAATTATAATTATATAAATGAATAAAGAAAAATGTACGAGATATATATAGTACGTGACTTGTAATAGGCCAAAATGTGAACACGGGTGATGCACGGGGTGCACAATTTTAAGGTCATTTATTAGTACAGAGTTCGTGCGATGCACGGGGTGCACAATTTTCTAGTATGTGTAATACAAATACATACTGTATGCACGGGACAGAAGCACTAAATGAGTTATTTCCACAGAGCTTGCCCGTTAAGTAACTCTTGAACACGAGTGCACAATTTGTAGTATGTACCATAAAATCAGAACAGATTTTCATACAATTAGATAATAAATAAAGCTTTTTTTATTTTAGTAAAAATTTTACGTACTTTTTTATTTCCATCCAATTTTGTATGATGCATTAAATAGTGATTAGATTTTATATGTAAAATAAAATAAAAAATAATTGGAATAATTTTACGTGTTGCAATATTTTATATTTAAAAAAATAAAAAACCTTATTTTACGTATTGCATACCAACATACTTCAAATAATAACATAAATATACGATTTTTCATCGTGTGAGAACCGTGAAAAATTTTATTTTTATTGGTACGTTGTACTATAATTGATTGTACTTTAGTGTTATTTTCAATCCGTATATATTTTATTATGAATAGCAATACAATTTGTATTAGAATTTAGAAAATGATAGAACCATGTAATATTAAAAATAACATCATTCATAATTAAAAATAGATAAAATACGATTCTCACTGTCCTCACACCAGTATTAGTTTTTGTTTAAACTAGCCCTTATATATTTAAATAGTATGGCAAGTCAAATTGTCTCTCTAACTGACAAACCACATATGCTATGTTTGGTAAACAAATAAGTTATCTTATAACTTATTTGGTTAGTTTATAAGCTTGTCGAGTTTTTTTTTTTAAAAAAGTTCGAGCATATCTCATAAGTCTTTTCGAGTTGCTTTTCAAATGAGCATGTTGAACTGTTTATTTCAGTTAGCTTATGATGTAGGGAAGGCGTACGAGTGGGAAGGATAAAACGAGTAAACGAGATACTCTCTCGTAAAACATGTAAAACTCAACAATATCTTTTTTCATTCAAAATCAACTATTTCATAACAAAGCAGAAGAGCCTTTAAATAAGGCTCCTAACCCTAGACCTTAACTTGTCCAACAAGACAAGATCACTTATTAAACAATAATATTAAATCCTAACTTATTCTCTAAGACACCTATTAGATAATAATAATAATAATAATAATAATAATAATAATAATAATAATAATAATAATAATAATAATAATAATCTACACTAGGGTATCAACTAATTTTACCAAATATTATTATCATATAAGTTAACTTTTCAGCTATAAGTCATAAACTATAAGGTCGAATACCAATAAGGTATAAGATAATTTATGAGCAAATTTTACCAAATATAGTCATAAACAATCTACTATACCTCCTTATATATTAATTCAAAACGTGTTGAGCTTAAATGGCAAATTCTCACGCTTCAGATGCTGACAAGACGAAAATATATACTTCGTGATGTTGTTTTTATATTATTTTTGCTCTGGAGTTAGGTTTAGTTTTAGACATAAATAACTTTTATCATATATTTCTTAACCCAACGCTTATTTTGTACACGAGTATTGTATTAGTGATAGTGTTCAACACAAAGAGTACTTATATATTTATTAATTTTGAGCTGTGTCATACAGTAATTTATCTTAAATTCTGTTATCATCGTGTTCTTTCATTATTACATTGTAAGGGCTTAAAAATATGAACCCAATCATTTTGTATGTTGTGTGAGTGTGTATTGAGTTTGTGAGAAGATTAACTATTCGAAGAAAAAAACATTTTTCCCAAATAAGTTTGCTACCAAAAAAAAAAAAAAAAAGTTTGCTACAAAAAATAATAAATCGAATTTTCAATTTTGATGGGTGTTACTCTTACGTAAAACTCGCTTATTAAGATAGTCGTGACTAAAAATGTATCCACCAAAATTATATTGAGACAATTTAATTTATTTGGACCAAAATAAAATTATTTTTATTCTCGGGTGGTGGGGTATAATGTTTGAATGAAGATCAAAAGCCATTTTCATACATACATTTAATAATATAATCACAAAGGCAAAAAAAAAAAGGTTTGTTTTCTTAATTAATTCAGAATTCGTAGGCACTAATCCGTGGGTAGGGCTTTAATTTAGAATTATGCAATAACTATGAACAATATATGAGAAAATATTACGTCCAGAACTATTTCGTCAAAATTTATAACCATTAGATCATCATGGGAAATACTACAGTTTCGTTACGTATCCATTCCGTCGGGATTTGTAATCGTTAGATCATCATGTAACCGTCAATGATAATTGATTTAACAGTTACAAATCTCGATGGAATAATTCTGTAACGTAATGTAGTATCTCCCCAATATATGAATGTAAAATGCAATTTTAAAATGGCATCGATTCATAATCCATTGTTTTCCTTTGTTTTTAATTAGGCGAGATGCCACGGATTTTGTGGTCCTACACTTTATCAAAATTTAAGAGTCTTCTAATAATTATTGAAAAT